AATGCCCTGCGGAGATGTCGGAGCAGTGTCGTAAATAGGGGCACTCCATTCTTTCGACTATCATCCGTAAGATGTTGCTGGAGCTGCCCCGCACCCGGCGCACCAAAGAAGCGCACCGCTTTCGCATAGTGGCGAAAAAGCAATCCACCCGCGCCTCTGCAAACATTCTTGATGCACTGCAGAAGCGAGGCAGCCCCAGCAACATCCTAAATGCGTTATTATACTGCACCCGAAGCGAGTTGTATGTTTGTCGAGTAAAACTGGCCCATAGGCTGCACGTGTAGAAGTTAGTGCAATATGCTCTGAATAATGTGACTTTAGGTACGCGTACATTGGCCGGCGCCGGCCGCGCCGCACGCACGGCACGCAACGGATTAAATGGATTTGCCGGTGGCATGCGTCCACTGTGTCCGGATTTTAAATTTAGTTTCGAGTGTTTTCTTGTCGTTAGTTGACGTGTGTTTGACGTCTTCAGTTATGGAGATTGATGAATATATTATTATTATTAGTTGCTTGTTGGAAGATGAAGAAGAACATAAAACTAAACGTAGAATGTGGGTTCATGAAATAAATTTGAAGCGATCAATATTTGGGGAGTATCATTCATTATTTGTTGCCGATTTACTCCATGACGAAGAAAGATTTTTTAATTACATTCACATGTCAAGAGCCAAATTTATGAATGGGCGTGTTTGGCCGAAGTAAGTACTTACTAAACTTAGTAAGCCAGTAAGCATAAAAAAATTAAAGTCTTACAAGCTGACTGTAGCGCTTTTCGGCCAGGACAGACTTACTGGCTTATTAACATAACACAAAACACCGGTTTATGTCATATCCCGTACATAACCTCATAGACTGAATATAATTGACAGTACTAAATTTAGGAATATAATTTAATACCTGTGAATAGTTTCAAATGGATAATTTTATGAGAAATATTTTATTGGATATTTTATTGTCCGTTTTGTTTACATCAACAATAAGCAAAATGGCGTCGTATATTAAGCCATACTTACTGCGTTAGCACTTATTTTGTGTCCCGGCCGAAAATTTTGTAAGCATAGTAAGTGACTTACTAAATTTAGTAAGTACTTACTTCGGCCAAACACGCCCATTCTATACGGTTTACTCAAGCCTCATTTGACAAAACAAGACACGACATTTAGAAAGGCTGTGGGTCCAGAAGAAAGACTTGTAGTATGCTTAAGGTATGTTTATTATAATTATTGTTAACGAAATTACAAACAACAAATTATTTAAAACAGTAGAAAATATTATTATTTTTTAAATACAGTCAAATTGGAATAATCATGATCACATTCATTCGAATGAAGTACTGCTATCTCGTCGTTCCGTTCAACTTGGCTTGAATAAATATTTGAGTATTCAGTACGTTGCGGATTAGTTCCTTCGTGTGCCGGACTAGATTCTGTAAACATGACTAAACCAGTGTGCTGTGTCGGTTCATGGCTGGAAGAAGTGGCATGAATTCTCGCTTGTGGTAAAGCATTTGTACTTGTGGAAGCAATACTTCTTGGATCCATCATCATTTGATTTGCATGAGGTGAAATCGTTGGGCTAGGATTTACCATTTTAGGTAAAGTTATATCACTTGTTATTATTATTTTTCGGCGATCGGAGTTTTCAGTTAAAATATTTAGAGAGGGACATGGCTGAGAGTTTACATTGGTCGGAGGATGTATTGCATATGAAGGTGTATTGACAACATTCAAACTTGTGGACATTGCTAATTTCATCTCTACTCTGTGGACAATTTGAAAAATTTCAGATTTTATTTTGACTTGCTCTTGAATCGGAAATGTTTTGACAGTTTTGGCCATTGTCAAAAAGAAATCTGTAAGCGGATCCTGGTCGGAATTCTGGCATACTGTAAAGCTCGTAGTTGTGTTTTGTCTTTCTCTCAATGACAGATATTGTTTGAGGACTGAAGCAGCAGTTTCATTGTTGGTAGAACGTTTTTTATACGACGATGTACCTCTACTAGTACTGCGATCTGAACTGGTGGTCTGCGTGTTGTTGTCTGGTGAATAAACAGGTGTGTAACATTTGTTGGGTATTGGAGGAGATGGAGAAGGTACGTTAATGTTTCTAACGTTGTCTCGTATCGCTGAAAGAATATTGTCATCTTCCGTGTCACTGCCCGATATATTTGATACCCGATTCTCTTCGTCATTTAAGTACGGGATAAGAAAACGTAATTCCTTGTTAAATTTCGGTGCTTTTATTTTACAAGCAGCTTGACCGCTCTTGGTTTTTCTTAAATTTAACGCTTTTCGGTAGTTATCCCTTAGTCTCGCCCATCGTTCTTTACAAGTAGTACCTGCAAAAATTCATAATTACATTAGAGTTTTCATGTTACAGATATTTTTCTACGGGAAACTCATATCGTTCTTTGGCTGAAAATTACCGCATGGGTGAACGTACAGTAAGAGAAATTGTTCAAACAACTAGTAAAGCTATTTGGAATATACTGCAACCAATAGTAATGCCGAAACCTGATGAAGAATTGTGGATGAGATCAGAAAAAGATTTTTGTCAAAGATGGAATTTCCCTAATGCTATAGCAGCTCTTGACGGAAAACATGTATTAATCGAATCACCACCGCATAGTGGTTCAAACTACTTTTGCTACAAAAAACACTTCAGCCTCGTATTATTGGCATTTGATGAAATAAGAAATTCATCGTGTAAATTGGTGCTTATGGTAAGAATTCAGATGCAGCTATATTTCGTAATTCAAACATGGGAAAAAAATTGCGGCAAGGTAATTTTATAATCCCAGCCCCAAAAACACCAATGGGAGGTAATCAGCCTTTACCACACGTTATTGTTGGAGATGAAGCGTTTCCACTGTGTATGAATTTAATGAGACCTTACTCTCGAGTTGATGTTCGACAAAATGAAGATAAAAAGACATTTAACTATCGCCTAAGTCGTGCCAGAAACAGTTGAAAACGCATTTGGTATACTAGTTCGTAAATTTAGAATTTTTGAGCGCAGATTGAATATGAACCAACATCATACAGTTTCTGTGGTAATGGCAATATGTTGCCTACATAATTTTTTGAGAGATGACCGTTGTTACTGGTCTCGCAATGAAAAACGTGTGCAAAACATTAATGGCTTGCAAGATCTTGAACATTTTGGTGGAAATGTAACTTTCGAAGCCACAGAAGTGAGGAACGCGTTCAAAGACTACTTTTGTTCAGAAGCTGGATCTGTAAGTTGGCAACAAAGGAGAGTAAGAGCTGGAAGACAATTGTCCTAGTGTAGTTTAGTTTTTTATTATTTTTTACTAACCTTAATTTTTAATAAACCTGATCTTTGGACCCCTAAAATTCGGTCCAGTAACTAAAAAGTTCATAATGGGCGGTCACTTTTTTTAGTTCTGTCAAAGGATTCTTAATTGAAGACTTCACGGAACTCCAGATATCGATTTTGAAAGCAATCGGTCCAGTAACTAAAAAGTTCTGTCAACAGATTCTTAATTCTAGACCTCGATTACCACCCGTGCGAAACCGGGACGGAATGCTAGTATATCTTACCTATACAATACACTGTGGTGGGGAATAGGACATTTGACAATATGTGCTAGTATACCTATACAATACATCTTCGTGTGACATCGTGTAACGTAACATTGTGGCGAAATTGTTTTCGAACAAAATGTGTGACATTTCGTCTATAATGGTTACGTGCTCGATGATTGTTATTTTTATCTACTCTGATACTATAATACAAAGGTTATAAAACTGAAAACAAAATTCTTCTGACAAACATTACGTACAGGCCAAAAATAATAAAAAAGTTTCATAACGATACAGGTCTTGTATGGACACCTGTATCATAATAGTATAACTTTTTAATCATAACGATGCACCTGTACAACCTCCAGCTGGACCAAGGAGGTTGAACCTCTACTTAAAAAAAAAAGTTTTCAATGAACGAGTCCGCGACGACGCAACACGCATGCGCAATCGATGTTTGCACCTTGGCGCCAACATTTGACATTTAAAAAATCTTTTCAATATTCAAATTATATTTATTTTATTTGCAATATTGTTTTACGTATTATAGTATGAGAGTAGATAGTGGTTGACACTGTACACTGTACATAACTTGGTCTTATAACACTCGTGTGATACTTACTATAAAAAAACTCGCCTACGGCTCGTTTTTTTAAAACACACTCATGTTATAAGAACCCGTATTATGCAACAGTATCATAAACTACTATAATCTCATTGTACTTTTACTATTATTAATGCTAGATAAACAAATACTCAAATAAATTTGCAAACAACTTACCATCTTCTTTCATTATCGATCCAATCTCCTCCCAAATGTTCTCTCTTCTTTGCAAATTAGAATGTTGTGGATGTTTTAAATTGTATAATTCTTCATATCTTTCAACCAATATTATCAAGAGTGCGTCATCCATTGTATTAATTTTTTCTCTTTTCCTTCCCAACTAACAACACGTGCGTCCCAGGACCTGCCAGCGGCGAACTGATTTTTGTGACGTCACCGGCACGCAACGCATTATTTGCTCCTAAAATGCTGGCGCGCGGTGCGTGCGGTGCGGGTGGCAAGGATAGTGGACGCAGTCTCATATAAATTCATACAAAGCAAACTCAAATCCGTTGCATGCCGTGCGTGCGGCGCGGCCGGCGCCGGCCAATGTACGCGTACCTTTTTACGTCATGAGAACAACGTACAATCCTACGAGCCAGCATATTTGCTCTCACCGACAACGCTCTTCGTTCTCTCTCTATATCGCCATTATCTTTGAGGTCGGGGAGTAGGACGTGCCCAAAGTATTTAAACTTACTAACTCGCTGTAAAACACAGTTGTTAATAGTAACCGTCGGCACATTTTGTAGTCTCCTCCTCCCTGACTCAAACACCATCACTTGGCTTTTCTTGGCATTATAGATAAGACCATGGGATGCAGCATATTTTTCACAAATGGCTAATAATTATCTTAACCCGCAGACAGAAGCGCTAAGCAGCACCATGTCATCAGCATAGCTTAAATTGTTAAGGTTAACGCCATCTACGTTACAGCCAATTCTGGTGCCGGTTAACTCCTCTATCAGCTCATTTACATACAAGTTAAAAAGTATGGGAGAAGTCAACCCACCTTGCCTCAACCCACACTCCATCCTATACGGATCTGACAGGACACCCTCCCAACGCACACTATTGACCTGACTTTTGTACCAATATTTAAGAATATTTATGGTATACTGTGGTAAATGGATTTTTTCAAGTTTTTTCCACAGCAGATCATAGGAAACAAGGTCAAATGCCCTGGACAAATCCAAAAAACATGCGAAGACAGGCGTCTTACGTTCAACATAATAGTTAATAGTATGCTTAAGACTCAAAATAGCACCATCTGTGGACAGCCCAGGTTTAAAACCAAATTGGTTATCGTGTGGCTTTATATATTTACTTAATTGAGTGTTAAGCACACCATCAAACACTTTTATAAATAAGCGGATGAAGCGTAAGCGCAAGCGAAAGCACACGCGTGACCTCGCGGCGGCGGATAGATCTTCTCTGCGGCGCAGGAGCATGTAGAATACAGTCCCCTCCTTCTACACTTTATTACCGCAAAAGAGAAAGAGTGGTGTTTAGGGAATGGGTGCGGTAAGGATAGAAAATGTGAACAGAGAGGACTAAAGGTAATTGGATGGCGTGAACAAATAGTGTTTCGGGACACTTTCGAGCGTTACTTTTATTCGAGACTGTGCATCTTGGGTTTTTTGTATATCAATGATATGAATGCCTATAATAATAAATAGCGGCCTCGTCGAGCAAAATTATCCTAAATATGAAATAAATACTAATATCTTTAAAAAAAGACCTTTCTTTTTTGCCTCCTCGTTGGCGGTAAAGGTGATCTTCTGTCTGCTCAGAGGTTTTTTCTCGCTCCTGGGCGGCAACTTGGTGCGCAGGTCGCTCTGGGGTTTGCTCGACTCCACTCTGGAAGAATAATCGTTCCAAATGTGTTAGAATTAAAAAGGAGAGACAGAAAAAGAAGCAACTAAATGAGGGTAAGCTCTCTCCTCTCGTCTACCTCTTGTCGTCGTCCTCGGGGCGGGCGGAGTCCTCGTCGTCGGAGAGGATCCCGTCGATGTCCCCGAGGATGAGGTCGAGGTCGTCGTCGCTGTCCCCGCGGGGGACGGGAGGGGGCAGCGGGGGCGTCAGGGGCGAGGGGCCGCGAGGGGGAGTCAGCGCCTCTGCGGGTTGGATCATTTATCGGTTAGACGTTATACCTTAATGACAAAATAAAAAAATGATTTGTCGTATTCGACTCACCACAAGTAGAATTAACTTCGACTTCGTCCCTCAGAGGCGACGTCTTCTCTTTTCTCTCTATCTCTTTCTCTTCTCGTTCGGGACTCTTCTTGGTCGTATCCGGTTTCACCTCTTCTTCGCGAGTGCTAGATGGATTTTCTTTTGTATCTATTTTAAGCTCTTCCTTCTTATCTTGTTTCTCCCGTTCCCTAATTTTTGGAAAACAAAATTATTTTAGAACTTTTGAGATAAAATTTAGTTCAACTTTTTTTTTAAAATCTTGGGTTCGATTCCCGGCTAGACCACAACGTGTCTATAACTTGTCAATAACTTCAGAATTTTGCATTTGTGATGCAATTACAATAAAGATTACCGAATAGTCAAAAGTACAAAACGGGCACTAACTTATCCTGCAACTGCTTCTGTAGGGCGACTGCATTCTTTCTCCTTCTGACTTCTTTTGCTCTTAGAACTCTCTCTCTCATCGACTCCTGTTCGCGAACTCTTCTTCTGTACTCGCTATCCTGAAAATATAAAAATAATTTTGTTATTTACTAGTTGGAACGTTTATTTTGCTTCTGCCTAACCACGTATACGTATCAATGACGCCGGTCTTTGTCTGCCGTTACTTTTTTTGATTTCAAATTTGAAGTAATTTGTTGTTTTATTAGAAATAAATAATAAACATCTTTGAAAAAGTCACCTCATCGTCCTGTGGTCTCGGTCTGCGTTCATCCCGCTTTTCCCGGTCTCTGAGATCCCTTGCGTCCCGAACGTCTCGAGCGTCCCGGACGTCTCTGGGTTCCCGGACGTCACGGGGGTCCCGAGAATCTCTGGGAAGGGGCGACGGGGAGCGTGATCGACGCGGAGACGGAGTCCTCATGCTGAAGATTAATTATTGAGTAAAGCTCCCGAAATACTAGAGGATCATGGTAACGTCGAACGAAGCAAGAAAAGCAAATAGCTACCGTCTCCGTAGACCGGCCCTATTGGCGTGGATGAACTCCTCCTGCTTGCGTAAGAGTTCGTCCTCACTTCTTCTGCTGCGAGCCAACTCGTTCTCTATCTCTATCGTCGTGTTCTCGATGAATCTGGAATGATCACAATTGAATTAGATTAACAGTACATTTACGTGCAAAATCAACGTCTCACGAGGAACGAATAGAAACCTCTGCGGAGATCGTCTAGCCGAGTTGCGAGTGGCGGCTCTCGCCAAGGCGCTCCGTTGTTCGGCGATAAACCTTTCCGCTGCGTCGTCTATGTCCTTTATTGGACCTGAAATAGAACAAATATTATTGTTTTTATTAAATATTGTCAGTGTTATTCACACTGAAGAAATAATAACATATTTTTTTTGTAATTTCACTAAAACGGCCTTGAAATAGGATGTGAAGTCTCAAATAAATTAAAAAACGTATGTGTACTTATGTACACGCGTTAGAAGTTATACTTCTTTGGCGTAATAATTTTCTTCGAGCACTTTAGAAGGACGTTTCCTTCTTCGTGTTGCATTTTTCTTGTCCATTTTAATGGACACTTCCAATCGAAACGATATAATATGTACTAATCATGATATTTTACAATAAACACTATATTTTTTATCACATAGGAACGGGTTTTCTCTTATAGAAACCAATATTTTGGTTTAAGAAAACACGACTCTGAAATACTCTACGCCATGACAGACAATGCAACTAGTCGATAAAACAGAGCAAGCGCCAACTAGCGGCCCAGACTGCTTTACCGACGTTTGAACAGATATTGAAAGTGTCGGTTTTTTGTGACGGTTTGCGCGCGTATCATAAAAACTTTCATCATTTTTCCCTAACGCGCCAAAAGAGGTATAACTTCAATAAATGCAATCTCACAAAAACAAGCGAACACATGCATGTCTACAAATATGCAAAATCATAAGAACCAAAATTAAAGAAGATTTTTTTTTAATTTAAATTATGTGAGGGGTCTTATAAATATTTGGCAACAAACAAAGATCTTTCAAATAGACTAACACATCCATAAGCAGCTCCTACTGATTAGCTCATTCGAGTCGTGCACTTAGAACCTAAGGACCAACTGAATAGATCACATTTGACAGATTGTAATATAATTATTGTAATCAATAGCAGGTAATTTTTACCATTACCACCGATAAACCCTAACATCCAATAGTGATACCCTTTTTTCATATTAAACGTTGATAAAAATCGAATGCGATGATAACATGAGAAATTATATTTCTCCGTAAGTAATTGAATAAATGCTATTCATTATTATTTTGTTCCTAAAACTTACAATAGACAATAGTTTTTTTTATTGCAGTTCTTTTTGCAGTACTTTTTCATAATAGCTTAATTCATTCACACATGTAAGAAGTTCGTATCGTTTCATTCGTTTTAACAGACGTTTAAGCGAGAGCTAAAACTGACAGAAGTCAAACACGATCTATTAAATTGTCCCCACTGTAAAGAAAATTACCGAATTTCTGTTCCAGAGAAGGAGCCATCGGCGGAGGCGACTTTTGTATGCGCGTCGGTATGTACGCTGGCAACCCTATTACGAAACTTGCATTAGTGTTGCCATTTCATTAATACGTCTTTATTTTTTTATTACAACAGATACTATTATTATTTTTTAATTTAAAAATGACGGCATCAACGAGGACTGTGAACTTTTCATTTTAAGACGCACTCACTGTTAAGTTAATAACATTTTGAAAAATTTAATGCGTACACAATGTTCATTTATTCTTAATACTAAAAAAAGAAAATATAATTAAAATTACCTTCAACGGGTGGCTGGAAATTTCCTTTGAAGTGTGGATTAATCAACACTTTCTTCCCGGTCAATCCTGGCAAATTCGGTGGCAAAACTGGCAACATCCTCACTTCGGGCTCCAAGCCTTTGGCCGGTAACCCCGGTAACGGTTGGCGAATCGTCACTTGGGGGATGTTATTGTGTGGAATTATTTCTCTCGAAGGGCCAAATGGAAACATGGGCCTCTCGAAGGGTTGATTTGGGATGAAATTGGGTCTCTCTTCAGGGCGAAAGGGAAACCTTTGAAAATTGGGAAAATTCTCCCGAGGTTCGGGTAATATTTGTCTTTCGGGAAGCAAGTCGGGACGACTCTCTAAATCTGAGCGAATTTGCGGTGGACTTGCGCGTTGAGGCGGTGGAAATGAGGGTCGAGGGCCAAAGTTTCCCTGAAAATAATTATTTGTTTATTCATTTAAGAATTAAACTACTCTAAAGACACCTTTTAAGTTAAACTCAAATCTTTATTGCATTCCTTATGTACATAATTTATTACAATAATGAATAAGGACCTTGGCTAGGCAGAGCAATGTTATGAGAGGGCATGCTTTAATATAGTTCATTATATTCTTATACATTCCTATTCTTATAAGATACATTATTTATTTGGTATATTTACTTTGGTTTCTCGTTGCGAAAAGGTACTTAACATTATTTATAAACTTAACTTTTATAAAGAAATTAAAATCTATCAGTCAGCTGATACTCTGTAACAGTGTAATAACATTTCTTATATAATAATTCCTTTAGAAATTTGGTAAACCTCAGGTTATTTGTTTCATTCTTCAAATTTTCTGGTAATTTGTTAGTTAGTGGTATACTTTTTTTTTTGAATATATAATGACATAAGAATGAATAATCACTAAGAAGTAAGAACTCACCCGGTAGTGCGCGTTGTGTCGCCGATAAGGATGGTTGTGTCGGTAGTGCGGTGCGCGCCAGGAATTATTACGACCGCGGGGAACAAACACATTATCTGCAAATAAATTAATCATTAGCTGAATATTCTTTTTTTTACAAAGTATGTGCTGAGCTCTGACATCATATTTATAATTTATTGTATAAAGACTTATTTACAAATTGTCATTACAACTTTGTTTAATTGTTCAAATTGTTTTGGAAGATCTTACCAAGGGAGTCTGGTATATTTCTGACTTGTGGTGTCCGAGCACCCACTGGCCTCTCTGATATAAATCTCTCTCTACTGCTTTCCAAACCTGAAAAAATTTAACTATAACAATCAACCCTATTTTCCGAATAAAACACTCTTTCCGATAAAAAAATAATTGTACTCACTTGCAGCTGGTGGAATTTCTGATGGCACAATTTGTGGAGATTCAATTGGTGCCGCTGGCTGAAATTAACATTTTATTTCAATTAAGTATGTATAAATAGTGCAGATTTACGTATTAATTGATATAACCTAAGTCATATAATACCTATTTCACAAAATAGTATTAAATAATAATAATATGACAATTGCAATTAATAAATCATTGATTTGCACTGGTTGGTCTTGTGAATGTTCACAGAACCAACTTGCTTCATTTAAAAACAGTAGTAAAAGATTATTATCCATCAAAAGGCAGGTTTGTGGGGAAACATCACACTAAACAACCAGAAATCTTAATATATAGAAATTTAATTGTGCTTAGTAACCAACAAAAGATAAGGAAAAACTGAGTTATGTTGTGTTATAGTTCCTCTTTTAAAGTTTTAAAGGCCATGACTGCATTTAATATAACTTAGGATTCCCTCAACATAAATTTTATTTAAGTTAATTTAATTAATTAATCCATATACAAATAAGTAAATATGTTTTTTATCACAAGTACACAAATACAATTTTGAACTAAATCTTCACATATAAAAATTCACAATAAAATACCATGATCACATTTAATATGACCAAGTCAGGTTATAAAATAATGTTGTGAAACCACATGAAACTAACCACCACAAACACAATAGAAAACACATAATTACATTATGATAAGATAATTTTTTTCCAAAATAGAATTTATACAAATAGTATAGGTATATAGCTACTTACAATAGCTGGTGGTACAGCATGTTCAGCTTCATATGATGGTTCATACGGAGCATATGTACAGTGATCAGCTCTTGAACTGGGTATTTCAACAGTAATATTTGGCACCACACACTCAGTCTCAGGTGCTGTATAAGCAACTGGCTATAAAAAGAAGCATTCAGCCGATGGTTATAACATACCGAAAGAAAACAAATCTTCCTCATCAAAGGACAGGGTCAAGATTCAAACTAAAGGGAACTCGAGATTAGAGAGACGAACAAGACTTACCGGCGTATATTCAATATTGCTTTCATTATAATCAGTAGTCACACTAGTAGGCTCACGATATGGTCCACCTGAGGGTACGTTTTGAGAATTCCCTTCATAGTCATCAGCCAGCAACTGTTCCTCCTCATCGTTTCCGAGATTATAATCCGCGAGGCTGTGATCACCTAAATCTTCACCTAATATGTCTTCGCTAAAAGAAAAAGCTTTCTTTAGGTCACATGGATGTATGACATATTTATCGATTATGTTGTAATTTATGATTCACAGATTTAACGAATGCAAATTTGTATGACCACAACAATATAAATTGAGATTCCAAAACTTTTATATAGGGGAAGTTAAATAGAATATATAAAATTAATAAAATATAAAAATACTAACTTATCCGACATGTTGTCAAAATATTTTTTAGGAATAGACTATAGACTATAGAGTATAGACTATATAGACAGTAGATGAGTAGAACAAAGATTCAAGATATTTTTTTTATTTTACCGTCGTAATCATAGACTAATTAGTATATATATTATGTATTAATAATAATAATAATTTATTTGCAAGTATATGGTACAAAAATGTAAAGGGATAACAATCTAACGTTCGCATGTTCTGTTACACATAATGGCCTGCAAATTTGTCTTAAAAGATAAAATTTTAAATAGAAGTTACAATTGAATTATGAGTCATATTTGTTTCTATTCACTTCGACTGAATTTCATATAGACCACAAGCCCATGAACAAAATACCTGTGAAATGACCCAACGTGAATTTCGTTTAGAAGGCTGTTACTATTCAGAATAACTCTGAGCACTATGCCGTCATTTCTGAGCGGTACATGTGTACGTGAGTGAATGGAATTTCTCAGATACAAGCAGGAATTTCGACTAATTATTAATGTACGGCTTTGTTATAAGATATAGATGATTAAAAATAAATGTCGAAAAACCTAGTGCCATACAAGTGATGGTGCCGAAGTCGGTGCAAATTTTTAATTCGACGATAGTTGCAGAAGCAATATAGGTCATTTATTACTGTACGGCATTTGGTAATTCCTTTTGGACACATATACAGATACTTTACCCGTAAACGCCGTACATATCCAGCGGATGTCGAAAGCCAAGGGTCGCAACATATGTATGATTAGATATAGGTGATGATGATATAGAACAACATAAAATTAAATGATCTTGAGAGTACTTCACAAATAGTAATATTTTCAGGATGCCGTACATTTTTCGTGGAACACATAGGTGTTTGGGGTAAATTATACTCACTCACTTTAGAAAAGTTATTAGTTTGGCCATTCTTTCGATTGCCATCATAGGGTGTTTTTTAGCTTGAATTCCAGATGAGGCAAGTAATTTTTACAAAATCTTTGAATGAGAATTACTAACGTTTTAAAAAGTAAATTAAGTCTTCTTTCAGTAAAAACCCTATCTACAAATTTGTACTTTCTCATATCTTTACCTTGTATGAAGCGTAAATATATTTACAGTTATGATTCTCAATACGTACAGTTATATACCTTTAGGGACACCTCAAACGTCGTTGAAATTTTTTCAGGTGTAAAGAATAATCCTGAGTAAAATTAGAGTTTGTTTATATTTGTTACATTTAAAATAAAATAATCTTTGAAAATATTACTCTAGGAATATTTAAAAATCATCTAAATTTCGAAATTTCATCCATATTTTTTATCATAATATTTTTATTAGTTACCATTTATAATGAACGGCTATAAGGTACAACGTAATATTTGAGTAACATCTATGTAAAAAACAAGTGCCGTACATATTTCTGATCTTACAGCAGTGCTCGGTAAATCCTGAAATTTCGAATATTTATTTACACAAATATTAACTATAATTTTTCACGCAAGTTATAAAACATTATTGTGTGTTAAATAGTATTCTAGAACATGTTGCCGCACATTTTACAATGTCTTTAGGGTTATGGGTGTAGGGAGGGGTAGGGCGGCGGTTGCGACCCTTGGCTTTCGACCGCTCCGCTGGAAATTGTACGGCGTTTACGGGTAAAGTATCTGTATATATTGTGTCCAAAAGGAATTACACAAATGCCGTACAGTAATAAATGACCTAATTGCTTCTTCAACTATCGTCGAATTAAAAATTTGCACCGACTTCCGGCACCATCACTTTAGTACGGCACTAGGTTTTTCGACATTTATTTTTAATCATCTATACACTTATAACAAAGCGTACATTAATAATTAGTCGAAATTCCTCCTTCGTATCTGAGAAATTCCATTCACTACATACTCACATGTACCGCTCAGAAATGACGGCATAGTGCTCAGAGTTTTAGATATAGTAACAGCCTTCTAAACGTAATTCACGTTGGGTCATTATCACAGGTATTTTTTGTTTTGTGCTTGTGGTCTAATATACTTAGATATGGAATTATAGTTTGGGGTATATTCTATTTATATCTATATCTATATATCTCGGAGACATATGATGATATTCTGTGGTTGTAACTCGTAAAAATCGTATTAATTTTTTTTTTTTGAGTTTATGGTTTGGTAGTTGACAATTGACATTATCGACTTGATCTGTGAGACTGCAAAATGAAACAAAACTTATGAAAAGTGAAAACTAATAAATAAACAATAAACATTAGAAAGGAAATAATTAACCAAATCAAACAAATTTGTTAATATTTCAGGATTCATAATTATATATTATAAGATTTTCAGAACATTAACTGCAAATTGTAACCTCTAAGAGTAAACAAACAGTAATATTAATTTTTATTGTACTTACAACTCGTATACGATGTCTGAATCTGAAATGGATATGGACTGTGAAATAGAATGCCTGGATGAAGACGTAGAAATTGTCCAGCAATACGTCCTTAAATTAGACGATTCTAAAGAATTCGTTAAAATTAAAGAAGAACCTTTAGAGTCACCGTCACTTCTGGAAGAAAAACCTGACAAGAGCATTAAAAAGAAAATAAAGAAGGAGGAAGAAGATTCCGATTATGATCCGTCAGAAGAATATCGTCAACGTTTCAAAAGAAAAATGCGACCATCTCGTCCAATTTTTAAGAGAGAAAATGAAAGAACTTCGAAATATGATTTGAAAATTAGGCGACAATTAGACATAAGAATTCCTGATTACGAAGATCCCTTATGCTTGCCGGTTCGTGCGTGGAATCGGGAGGACGGAGACCTTAAAAAGTTGAGAAATTGGAACAATTTGTGTCTGAAACATATGAAAATGTATGAATTACCTTTGCGACCAGACACCAAGGATGCTGTATCATCTACAAGAACGATTGTTTTGAGGAACTTAAATACCAGACAGACTGGTGAGTTTCAAATAGCTTTATAATTCTTTTGTCTATGTTATATATAAGATAATCATACAAATAATGTTCTAGTTCTAATTTGTTACTTTATAACTTTGTAAAGTTGAAATCCTTGTAGATGCACTACATTTTTGTGATATATTTTCTAAATTAAATAAAATTAGTTGATTCTATAACGTAGTTACATTAAACTTTGTTATTTTGTGAGTATCTTATATTTGCAAATTGCAGGAAAAGTAGAAACAACTATGTGGAGCAAAATATCGGTAGAAAATGAAGATGGTATGAAAAAATCTGAAATTGTGCAAGCCATGCTTCCTAAATACAGAGAAAAGAAGTTCTTAAAATCAGTAGTGTTGGGCCCCAAACAAACGAAACCAGTTAATTTCAGAGAAGAAGTAATTCTGACCAAGGAGTTTGATAAAGATGAAGAAATGCTAATTACATATAAACCAAAATCAGTTCTCTCGTGCACCTATAAAATGTTTGAAAAGGAAAGGTTGGTATATAAAAATACATATGTTACACAATAACTAAGTGAATAATATGTTAATATGATTAACTAATACCTAGCTACCTAACTAAATACCATTATGAATACAATTTCTAAAAGTACACTATAAAAACATCAATTATTTATCTTCTTGATTTAATTTCAACATGCTCATCTATTCTTTGCTTTAAATATGGACTATTAACTTCAAAATCAAAATGTTGATGAATAGACCATTATTTTAACATTAATTGTTTTTAGTGAAGGGTCTGATGATGACTCCAAGAAGTATTTGCGTGAGTTAGTAGTCTGCAAAATGTGTGCACCTTGCTATCAGACATCATGGAGAGGGTGTACGCAAAGGAAATAATAGTAAGTACAAATATTTTTAAAGTTAGTTTTATTTATGCGCACTATTATTAAACTTATTCATGATGATATTTATATATGTTAAAAGAATGATTTACAAAATAGTTTTGCGATTGTATGTTTTTTTACACAATACAAATTTTTTAGAATGCATGTAAGGTACTTTAATGATTATAATATAAATGATATTAAAATATAAACATATATTGATATTTTCTAAATAACAGATAAAACAAAAGTCAAAAGTCAAAAGCCAATGTGTGAAATGTACATTTATTTATTGGGGAAATAGTTCTGATATTTTTTTTATAACTATCACAATACAATACATTTAGGAATTCAGTTCTCGATGTTTTGTTTGATTATCTTTACAATGGTGAATTAAATCTATTCGGCTGTTTTTTTTTTTTTTATAGAACAGGGCAAAAGCCAGGAGGCTCATCTGATTTAGTGATACTGCCCCCATGGACACTAATGCCAGAGAGCTGAGATGCGGTGGAATGATTAATCCGAACTACTTCTCTGCACACTCTCCATGGTAAATGCGGTAGAAGATTCAGTGTGACCCCCCCATATCTCTACGCTATGCCAAGGCATCAAGCCGCTCGGAGAGGGATTGGTCGTCGACGGTTAGAACCGCTCTTCGTTGAATACGGTCAAGTGGAATAAGCTAGGTACTGTTGAGGTTGGTCCCGCCCAGAGGTTGAGAACGGTACTCCATGTGGGGCCGAATTTGCGCTTTATACAGTTGCAAGCGATGGCCCGGAGTGAAGTACTGTCTCGCCTTGCTGAGCACACCAGGCTTTTTGGAGGATAATTTAGCCTTTCCCTCCAAATTACCGCGAAACTAAACGTCGTTTGATATGTCAACGCGAAGTATTCTGATGCTGGCTGTGTTTTTTTAGCTAAAAACGCGCGAACTTGTGTCTTCTTGGAGTTAAATTGGATTAGATTTAGTCTACCCAAGTCCGAGACTCCATTTAGCAGAGTTTGACTTCAGACACAAGTTTGTTCCGGTACTCATCGACTACTGACCGAAAAATACCTGCCCGGCCAGTGTAAAGAGTATCCCCAGTGCTGTCGTCCGCATAGAAGAAAGAGGGTCGGGGATAGGACACAGCCTTGTGGGACCCAGCGTTCACGGGTTTAAGGTTGGAACATGCTCCGTCGATGACGACCTTGATGCTCCGATCGTCCAGAAAGCCGGAGATCCGGTCGCATAATTTTTCGGAAGCCCCGTAAGCTTGAAGCTTCGATAGAAGCGCTTTATGCTATACTCGTTCGAAGGCTTTCGCTATATCCAAACTAACCGCTTCCCCCTTGGACTCAATTGCCTCTGCCCATTCAAAAGAGTGTTCCAATTTGTACCCCGGTTAGGATAGGTAGGAAGTATCAGCCGGGGAGGATGATGACGTGAGTCTCATTAAGGCAGAAAAAGGCCGGCTTCGCAGTTTCTAGGTGAAAGTGAACCGCGTTGAGGTTAGAATTGAGCTAATATTGGTAAAGTCCACTGTGAGCGTGGAAGGAGTTGCCTTCGGAAAATTCTTCCATTTGCCCCGTTATGACCTGAGTTGTTTGACATTATTCATAATTCAAACTCAAATATTGTACGCAGGTGTTAAAGCATCACTTAAGCTAGAGCTACAGATGACGTCGAATAACGACGACATTAGGATGTTGTTCCTTCGAAGTTGGAATTATGTCAATATTGGGACGATGATTACTAATGAATATTAGCTAAAATATAATTTCTTTCCAGCGAACATAAAGTGCAGTATATGCGATCGTGTCTGCGTCAGCGTATATAACCTGTTATCTCACGTACGATCTCACAGCACAGAAGATGTGAAGGCGCATAAGAAAGAAATTTCGAAGTCACTCTCCGAGGTAAAAACTGGTTCCTTACTTTAATATTTTTTTGTGTTACTAATAGTTTGGGAACAACTCGAACAGTTTTTTGTCAAAAATAGTATTCGATATTGTAACTTACAAATAAAATCTGTCAAATTACCTATATGATATGAAACAATGTCAAACTCAGTGCTTTTTTGTCAGCTAAAAGCCGTTTTATATTAATATAATTAATTTTACCACAACTTTATTTTGTGTATAGTGAATATCAATGTAGCCTGATTTATTATTATTATTATTATTGAGTTTTGTTGTCGTAGGTGCTTCAATACCACTACGAGTGCCGAATATGTCCAGAGAGATGCGACAGTATTAAGGATTTGAAGGCGCATGTAAACACCCATAAAGGTATTCTAACAAATAATATTCAGTTCTTTTTGTAAACTTCGCTTCGTTTAAACGCGGATGGCGTATATTATTCAAACGTGACCAGTTTAAGAAAAAAAACGATAATTCTATTTATTTATTTCGTAATCCTACAGCTAACAAAAATAATATACAACAAAAACAATTATACGAATGAAAGCCAAAGATAGAATACATAATATTTACTAAAATATTTAAACATTTACAAAAAGAAACCTGGGGCCTATACCTACTTAACACGCCTCTACAAACCATGGACTTGAGTGATTTCAACAAAATGAATCAAAGTCAAAGTCAAATCGTTTATTTCAATTAGACCATCTAAAATGGCACTTTTGAACGTCAAAAAAAAAATATAAAGATGATTCTAGTTGCCCCTTCCAAAAGGTAGTTTCGTGTGGAGAAGAATGGGCAAGAAACTCCACACTTACTCTTTTAAAATAGGTTTACAATATTTTGTTACATTTGTTAAATAATTATATGTGAAGACAATGTACTCTTAGAATAAACTACTATACTAAAAAAGTTAGTATACATGTTCCTCACATATTTACAAATATCGAAACCTTAGAATATTAACATTAAAGAGTAATAAAAATATTAAAAAAACACAACAAAACAGTGTGTGAGATACAAAAAAAATAATTACATTTGTAGCATTATATAAATTAAAAAAAAAATAATAATAATAATAACAAAAAATAACATATTTTTTTTTAGCAAAAAATCAGCAACCAATTTGATTTTGTCCAGGCTATAGAGCCAATCATAGGATTGTCCTATGGAGCAGGACCAGAATGTTAAAAGCTATCTTAAAAAATATTATATTATTTTAATGTCACTGCGACTTGTGAAATTTTCAAATAACAGAGATATTTATAACTTTTGCAGGTACTGTGCCGTTCGTCTGCGAGATCGGTGACCACGTCGCTTCGTAGTATGAGATATAAGAAGAATTCCTCTCGACGGATTTGCAAATTTAGACATAATTTTAATTTGATAATTACATATTTTACACATAATGTTGTTTTATTTTCCCTGAAATGTTTTTGTCGGCCATGATAATATAAATAAAAAACTTTGCTCTTGTAACATATATTTATTACTCAAGATGTCATGTGGAACATGGTGTAACGGTTGCAGCTCCTTACAAACGTTGTGTAAAACAAAAAACTTGGCGATTAAAAAGAGTGGCGGAGAGTTTTTTGCCAGTACCCAATTCTCTTCCGTTCAACGCCCTTGATTTGAGAACTGGCAGTAAATGTAAAATTAGATGCATTTAATAAATATTTCTTTTTTGACGTTCACAAGTGTACATTGTGTTATCTTAATAATTTTTGACTTGACTTATGACCTTGTAAGCCTCAATGCAAACTTATAACTTAACAAATATATTAATTTCCACTTTTGAATTTATTTATATTTTTTTTGGATTAATAAGTGTCTTAAGGTAAGATTCAGTGTGGAGACGACTAAGGACGTCCCTCACGCGGATCATCATTGAGATTGCTACGTCCACGCTTAAACTCGTTAAACCAATAATTGTAAATAGTGACACGAGATGGGTCTTCAATCAATCACTCTTCTACGCCGTAGCACTATTCTACAGCGTAGACATTGTAGCGTCGGATTAAATTTATATTTTGTTATTGCTTAATATTATATATAATGTTAAGTATTCAAAAAAAACATAAGGAACCAAGAATCGCAGACAATATCCAAAGCAAGAGTTTTATTATATATATCGTGTGTTTGATCGATTCAAACAATATGTTCGTAAATAATAACCATAGTAACACGAGGGTTGCACGCGTTAAAATTTAATTACAATTGGGGTTGTAATTATAAATTATGCACCCCGTGGTACCAAGGCCGACTGTTGAGTAATTACAATGACTATGTTTAGTAATTTACTTTTTAAAATGAAACACTGATTATTATACATCAACACTAACTTAGTATACAGACGTCTCATACAAATGAATCACGGCATGGTTCCACATCACAGTTTGGTTTCTTCCTTATCTGGTTGTTGTTTCGAGAGCTCGAGCATCTTGTTCATACTGCTAAGGAATGGAAGTCCCTACCTTAGCCTGTTTTTGCGCATTAACACAACGTGGCGCTGTTTAAGAGAGAAACGGGCATATCATAATAGGTTAAATTAATTTCTACTAATTTTCTGTCTGTTGTGGTAGGTCTTAGTATTAGTTTTGCTGTGATCGTCTGAACAGCAACTTATGATTTTGTTTTTTTTAAATTTAAGGTAAATTTTCTAAACTGGTATTTTAATAATACATAGTGTACAGTTAAAGACGGAAGAATAAATAATTTTAATATTGTTTTCGGTAACATGCTGTTTTAGTGTTAGTGTATTAAATAATGGGTTTGGTTTTCTTTAAGCATTTATTAACAAATAAATGCTAGTCGTTAAAGAAAATGGTAGAATTAGAAATTATAACTCTCTGCGGGGTTTTACGTTCTCAAGAGTTTGTATGAACATCGGCTCCAGGCTTTTAATTCTTATTTTACGCAATTGATATCGTGAATATTGATGGTTTACCCTTAATTATACTAACTATTGCGAGAATGAATTTTGGGGTTCAACAATAATCAAAAATCACCCCAAAGACGAGGTCAGTGAACCCACTTAGGGTCATTGACCGCATATAGGGTAAGATATAAGATGAGGACTCACAAACTATCAAAAAACATACTACAAAATATACAATTTACCACCTTATTCTTCCTATTGTTGAGATGGTAGCTAAAACATAAATTAATCAGTGGAACTACAACCTTTTTAGGTCTGGGCCTCAGGTTTATGTATATGTTTCATGATAATTTGTCAATCAAATGAGCAAGCAGGTGATCAGCCTGTGCCTGACACACGCCACCGACTTTTTGGGTCTAAGGCAAGCCGGTTTCCTCATAATGGTTTTCTTCGCCGTTCAAGCGATATTAAATGTACAAATAGAGAGTCTAGTGTACAATCGGGCATCGAACATACGATCTCAGGGTTTAGAGTCGTACGCTTAAGCCACTAGGCCAACTCTGCAGCTGAGATAGTAACTACTTATGTGTAATTTATCGCAAACCAATATATTTTTACAAATTTCCCTTTTAAAATTTGTATGTGCGAAACGAATTTTAGGTTTAATAACTCATCGTTTTGTGCATTAAGTTTACATAAAGTCAAAGACGTGAATTAAAGGTAAAACACTTGATTTTGTTATGTATGTAAAGAAATAATTATATAGATATCTTAGATTACATTTTTTTAGATGGTTAGTTATCTACTGTGTTAATTGACGTTTCGTTTTATTTGTTTATTAGTCTGTGGAAAAGACGAAATGAAGAATCCAAAATGTTCTAACAAAAAAATCTTCTAATAAAAATTCAAATATAATTATTTCTTCACATGTATAAATGGCGAACTGAGACCTGGAGGCTGACAAGATTGCTCTGTAAACATTAGATACATATGCATTTTTCTCTTTAGAATAACATGGTAACCAATAAATATCTACAGTTATCAATGTGCGACAGACGCGCAGATCGTTTGTTTTATTGTCTTTTTATGTCTCGATATGGATCCGTCAATAATTCATCCGTCTCTGGGGCGTTTGGTTGGGGTAAGGGACGCCAAATGTTTTTGCTACTCTCATAATTGTTATAATGAAGGGGTCATAGTCTAGGCATGTTCCAAATTAGTATAATTAGATTCATTAAGTTCAGGGCCTCTGCAATGTTGTCTCGTTGGTAGTATCCCAATTTAATTACTCGTTTAACTGCATTGTCTAGTGGTTAAAAATCACTTATGTAAAACCAGCGCCCCGCCCCGGTTTCGCCCGGGCAACTGTAACCCGTGAATCATTCTAGATATTGATGAAAACCGCAATATGGTCAGTGCGTTATTGAGTTTATTGCCAACAGACATACAGATAGACGCGGCAGAGGACTTGTTTTTATATAATATAAAAGCATTATCAAGCTCTACAACTTTTCTCTAGTACTCAATCATAGTCTCATATATAGGTAGGTATATCGTTAAGGCAGTGTTCGTAAGAAATGTACTTTGCAAATCTTACTACCACTGAAACGTTTAATTGTAATTTTTCAGACCAGTATACAAGCTCTACAACTTTTCTCTAGTACTCAATCATAGTCTCATATATAGGTAGGTATATCGTTAAGGCAGTGTTCGTAAGAAATGTACTTTGCAAATCTTACTACCACTGAAACGTTTAATTGTAATTTTTCAGACCAGTATACAGACTGTAACACGTGAGTGTGAGTTTTAAAATTTACTTATAATAAAAATAATTTTTAAAATCGTCTCAGTAGATCCAGAGATTACACCACAACAACCTCACAAGTTGTATCTCTTTATAACATAAGTTATAAGTATAGATAGTATGGAGTAAACATCTCTGGACATGTCAAAGGCCACGATGGTGAAACTGGAACTCGCCCGTCTACTGGCTTCAGATGTCTTGTGATGCCATGCTCTGCACCGGTGAGAGGAACGTCTTACCAACTGTCTTAACGTCTGACCGTAGACATCGTAGTTTACTGTATTCTAGTTCTTCGAACTCTTAGAATATTCATTAATCTTTCATATTTTACTAGCAATTTCAATAATTATTGTGAGAGATCGGTGCCTGTTGCCTGTACTATGAAAATACTTGTGGTAACTAATATATTCATAATACGACAATACATAGCAATCTATTTTCAGTTCTCCAAAACTGATGCTGAACGTATTAAAATGAGATCAAAGACTTACGAGGATATAGTTCTATTTAGTTATCTATTCTGCAGTGGTTTAAGCAAACTTATTGATTTAAAGATTTGAAATTGAAATGAAAATTTATTAAAAATCCAGAGCATGCATGCTACGCTTATTCTGGTATTTGTAAGTTCAAAAGTAATCCAAATGCAAATATTTAATGTAAAAGAGAATGAACCAGTTTAAATTTCACCCCTATAAGGATTGATTTTCTATTATAATTCGATTACAAGGAGGATTGAAATAAAAAGAAGATACATCGGGTTTTTTATATATTTAGAACAAGAAATGTATAGTTACAACCATTGAGGATATTAAATATCATATTGTAAAAACTATTGTAAAAAGTGAAGAGAATGTGACAATTTTTTCTTTATTTATTTTCAATTATAATTAATTCCAATAAATTAATAATTATAGACACAGAAAGTACGTGAAAATATTAATTAATAATTACTTAAAACAGCCAAGTAACGACTACAGATGTAAATATTTGGTTATTAATGCCTTATTATAGGAATGAGTATTTTTTTTAAATTTCTAGACCGAACTTCAAAGTAAGAACGGCTGATCGATTTACCAAAACGCATTGTATTTTATCTTCAAACTCACACATGGGATGTGTGCGTTACAATGCATGTTTGGCAAAACGGCTTACAAAATATTGGGAACAACATTTAGTCTAAGATGACACTAAAACTGAGTCAAATTGGAATTTAAAATCTACAAATCTTATCTCATTCGACAGCAATCAGTACTTTGTATACACAATTCAGGGTTGCACCAACTTGTCACTTTCGGATGAGACGAAATTCTAGTCTGTGCCATCTACAAAGCATCAGTAATTCCATGAAATAAGAAGACGATCAGGTTTAGCCTCAATCTTAAGATGCTACTATTTCTTGTGCAACTCAAATTTCTCCACAAAAGCTATAATGTAGAAGAGGTAACCGTTTAAACAGACACAATAATATAAACACCTAATTACGGCCGCTCAATCGCACAACCCTGTCCGCCATTTTGGATACAATTGCTTTTAATTTTACGACTAATTTGAGGCTAGGTTGTGACGACTGCGCTCCGCTACACCATATTATTATTTTATCAACTAAATCTGTTAATACCAACACAGACACCTACCTTATCGAT